ATAGAAATTCCCATATATATATATATATATATAGTTGCAATGATTAATCAAGAGGTCAAATCTCCATACCCCTTGCTACCTACTACTGTTTCAGTGGGATTTGAAGAAATTGTTCGAAATATCTCAATATAGCGAGAAAATTGCTTGCCTGTGGAAATTTCTCTGAGCACACAACATAAGTCGCTAAGTTAAGGAGGTCATCCAATCCTTCTCTCTTTCTTTCAGCATCAACCAGTATGGGTATTTTTCTTTGGGTTGCCTGCACTGAAGATATAAGAAGCTGATTACTATTGAAAAAATTATTGGATCAGTGGTCGTGAGCAAAACTTCTGACTTCAACTGGCAAAATTTTGGGTAGACCAAAAGCCAACCCAAACAAATGCAACATAAAACGCAAAAAGATTGTATATCCCGTTTTTGCCAGTGGCAAGCTGAAAGAATGGCTAGTGAATGAGAGAATTCCCAACATAGAAAACAAGTAATCAGCCCAATCTTCTCATGGCAGCTGCTTAAGCAAGCAGACCGATAGCAACAGTATCTAAGAAAAAAAACTCTTCCAACGACTAGGCATTTCCATATAACTAATAAGTTCTATGTTTGTACATTTAGCGTAGTCATCAAAAACTAATATATGAATTCTCAAATTTAAAATAATATCGGTGATGTTGAATACAGTCCCAATATCAACATTATGATAATCAAACACACAAATAGTCTGTAATAACACTAAATTTAGATTTTTTTAACAATGAACCATCATACTCATGAATGGAGTATCACCAAACTTCTCTCTCAAAATGTATGACCACCGTATGCATCCCAAAATATATTTTTTTAGGAGAATAAAATATCAGTTCATATATAATATTAAACCGGAAAACATTGAGTGCTATTCATACTTATTCTACTTTTACATTTTTATTTCAGACAACGTTTATCAATTATTTGGTTGAGAATGAAGAATGCGGAATATTGATATGCTTATACTTGAAGCAGGTTACATTTTGGTTGAACATGAAAAAAAGCGAAGTTGAAAACAATAGACTAAGATGTGCAGTGACACCAGCATATTTCAATTTACTGGTTTCAATTCTAGGAAAAAGGTTGGTGCAATTAAGTATCATAAAACTTGTATGTTTAATTTCATTCATTTCTGGTAAGAAATGGAACTAAAAGCTTAATGATGTAATATCCATCTAGGGAAACAACAGCTCTGGGCCTGTGCTCGAGTATTTCCCCCCTTACTGGCAAGCTAACTCTCACTGCAAGCAGCATGCCAACTAGTGAGCTTTCCAAAGGTCCTTCTCAAGTTTCTCCTTGGTCATTGATGCAATTAGTATCATAAAACTTGTATGTTTAATTTCATTCATTTCTGGTAAGAAATGGAACTGAAAGCTTAATGATGTAATATTCATCCAGGGAAACAACAGCTCTGGGCCTGTGCTCGAGTATTTCCCCCCTTACTGGCAAGCTAACTCTCACTGCAAGCAGCATGCCAACTAGCGAGCTTTCCAAAGGTCCTTCTCAAGTTTCTCCTTGGTCATTGATGCCTTTTACTGTCAAAGGGCCTGAGCTTGACCCAAAGCTGAGCTTATTCCCTTGACTCAGTAGAAAGGGATCTGATTTGAGCCAAAAGGTGGCCGAGCCCAGTCACCAGCCTCCTACATCTCCTGCTGCCCCAGCCGTTTCAATCTCTTGGGGGTCATCTCAAAACAAGCCAGCCATTCAATTTTGTGCTCCAATTGGTAGAATGTTCATTGGAGCCCTCTGCACAAGCCGCCATGGTCAACTAGTGTTTAGTTCGTTAAAAAATATTACTATTCGTGTTCGGCTCATTCGTGTTCGGCTCATTTATATTTCGAACACAAAAAGTATGTTCCTGTTAGGCTCGTTTGCTTAGCGAGCCGAACAAAAGCTGTTCGCGAACAAAAAATAATTTTGACAACGCTAATCACGTAGCCGCAAGATGTTAAGGTTTGAGGTAATATTTAAATTTTATTGTTTATATTAAAACTTTATTTAAATAGAATTTAATATTTTTTTATATTTTAATTAATTATAAATCTTCTATTTTCTTAATCAATATTTTAATTGATTATAAATCTTTGTAGCCTTGTAGTTAATTAGATTTTTTTTAAATACTACTATATATATATATATATATGTATATATGATGAGTAGTATTTCGAGCCAAAAAGAGTCGAACGCGAACAAACAAATCTTTGTTCTTGTGCGGCTCCTTTATACATCGAGCACAAAAAAAAGTTTACGTTCAGCTCGTTAATTTAGCGAACGAATCGAAAACGAGCTGTTTGCGAACAACAAGCCTTTTTTTACAGCCCTAGTCGAAATCACCTAGCTTTCACTTAGGGTAAAATGGCCACACCCAATCTTCCCTAGCTCAATATGAAAATCCATAGAAATTCCCCCTTCTCTTTGAGGCTCTCTAATCACCTCCTAGACAAGCTCGAACAAGCTCATTCCAGGATGTCGATCGAGCCAACAACACAGCCCTTCTTAGAGGTTGGAGTCTCCAGGACAAAGCTTTCCAATCAAGGAATTGGCCAATATGTTCTGTTTTCAGGTAATTTTCTGCTCCCCACTTTGTCTCCACTCTAGTACTTAAGACACAAAACCTAGAGCTAAGGACCACACTTGTAGGGTAGAACCTCTTAGTCGCTTGACTCTTTTGGATTCAGAGGGAGTAGAATTCCCCCGATCGATTGCTCAAATTAGGGGCAAAATCATTGACCGTTGACATTCCCTAGCTAGAGATAAAAAACAAAATTAACACCATCCATTTCTGTTGCGTTAGGAATCGACGGCTTTAATTAAGCCGTAGAGAAAACCATATTTCTTATAGTTTGAACCGCATGTTCAATTTATGTCGGCAAATGAGATGAAGTCTCTACAAGCATAGGGAATCCCATATTTCTTATAGTTTGAACCGCATGTTCAATTTATGTCATTCAATCTATGATTGGGAAACTGAGATAAAGTCTCTACTAGCATAGGGAATCTGCATAATTGTGCTGCCCAATCAGACTCCGCCAGGTGCAAAGTGAACATAGATAATGGAATAGAATGCACAAAAATTAATGCAGATAACATAACTCACTAAGTAATTCACTGAAAATTTAAATCAAATCAAAATGACTCCAAATTTTATTGAGAATGATATGAGGTCCCCTTTAAATCTCTGAACAATTTTCATAATTTTTTAATTTGGATTTAATTTATAATTAATGCTAAATCACTAACATATTCAAAAATTCAAATTAAATCAAAATGATCCTAAATATTTATGGGAAGTTCCTTGAAATTTTTAAAGGGGCTCTTTTTGGTCGACAATTGATCACGAAAAGTTTCTCCCATAAATTTTGAGGATTACTTTACAAATCATTTAAACGCGTCATTTAAAATTAATTTAAATAATAATTAATTCGCTTGAACTCAATACTCAAGTGGGCTTCCCTAAAGGCTATTTGGGCAACATAGGGCCAGTCTTTTGTAGATTTTTAGGTTAATTCATTCCAAATGAACAAAACAAAAAATTAAATTAATCAATTAAATTAAAATAGGAGATGAATTGAAATCAAGTTGAATTGAATGAGTAGATAAATCCACTTAAATCGCTTTAGTTGATTGCTTTAGGATGCCTCCTCATACCTTAGTGAGGTGTCCATCCTCCTATGGCCAGGATGTTAGGAACAAGGGCCCACCCCCACTAGCTCTTAATGTTCTCCAAAATATAAATTCAACTTAAACTCTGACTAAAAGCCAAAATTTTGAAACTCAACCTAAACTACTAATCACTTAAATATAAACCAACTTACATGATTAATTTAAATTAAAATTAAATAAAAATTGAACATAAAGTCCCTCCGAGACATACCACACTAGCTTCACGCACTAGAATGCTTGCTATTCCACTAAAATAAACATAAGTTACGATGATTGTGGGTGTTTGTTGTGATTTTTGTGATTATTATTTGTGCTATGATTATTGCTTTGCCAACTAGACTGGATGACATGGGGAGGGCGGTTGCTTGCTCGCTAAACTTTAATGCTAGGATGATTATTTAGTAGTCTTAACCTTCATTTTTTATAGGTAATCATGCTTAGTGGGGCAAAATAAATGTTTAAAATAATAACAAAAACTAACACATTTGCTTGCATGTGCTATTAGGTCATGCTTATGCCCATAAGTATGATCCAATATGATGTCTGGCTTGGCCCCTACTTGAGCCAAGTTAATTGTGATTTACATATCTGCTAGATTGTTTGTGTGCCTATAAATCCGTATTTTGGGGGCTTAAATTTGTTTTTATAAATTTAAATGCAATTTAAATGTAAATGAAGGCATACCTTCCTGTTAATCATCTTGGAAAAATCTTGGACAAAATTATTCCAACTATTTCAAGGTTCACTCGAAACTAAGAAAAGCATCGGATATGGGTCACTACATTGAGGGATATACATCGAGGGACAAGTGCAGCATACAAATGATGGAAATCAATTTACCTTTAAAACTGTGTTGGTTGCAATTTCATCTGCTCAAATTAAATTGCACAAATATTTTAGAATCGACTCTAAATCTTATCATAAAATCAGAACCTTCAAAGCTTCCCTTGTCTTCTTAATCCTCAAAGATGTGATCATAACCTCCTTTGTTTGAACATGATTCAAATCCTCAAGATATATTCGCCCCTCATTTCATTCAATTATAGAGCATGTTGATGACCCTAATGCAGAGCAATCTTATAATTATGATGGTAATACTCTGAGTCTATGAACATAAATAGATAATGTTTCAAATTCTAAATGTCAGGAGCTCATCATGGTGCAAGAAACTACAAATGAGAATTTTGGAGGATCTTCAATAGCTATTAGATGCACACTTTCTCTAATGTCATCATGTTTTCTTTGATCATTTTTTTATTATTTCAGATCGTGACTTGATAATTCCTTATAGTTGCATCATCATCAACTGATTTCATTGACTGATTATTACATTTTATTTATATTTATTTTTTAAAATCTAGGGAAAACACAAGAATATTCAAGCACTTACTCATATTCCATATATGCCTGACATAAAATCATATATTTTTTTTATAGTTAGAATTCTACTTTTTTTATCAATCGATCAATAAAAATTTGAATGCCGTGTTTCAATAAAGTTAATCATATTTCTCTAACGGGCATGCATGTGCATTCTATTTTTGTCACCTCCTAATGTTTGCTAGCATATACTATAAAAAAATTATAGATCATAAACTTGGGTTCCAGCTCTTGCTTTCCTCCCTTTGTCTCATATCATATTGATGTGAAAGCCACACAAGACGTGGGATGAGGATCGAGAGCGAACTCCCATAAGCTGGGATTTTCGGTTTATTTGTTGGCTGGATCACATAATCCAGTCGCCTAGGGCTGTGCCCCATCCGTTCTTATTTTTTTTTTATATAGCATTACTATTAAAGTTTAATTGCATTGGAATTATATATATTTTTGGGCTGGACTGGTTTAAGACAATTTTGATTTAGTTCATGCAATTAGTGACTATTTCTCTATCTTTCCCTTGTCGGAGTGTCGTATCTTTTGATTTTCTCATGTGGTGTGCCTGTAGCCCTATTAGATTGAGGTGGTGATCTCTCTCAAATGCACCAAGTCCTCCTATGCCGCCGGTTTTGCAGCTGACCTACAGTTCTCCTATTCCAGATTGCTTTCTAGCCACCGAGAGCCACATTTCTTCATCGTCATCATCTTTTCGCCCTTAATTCTCATCCTACATCTTACCTAACCCCTCCTTGATCACCACACACTGTCTACCCACCCAAGATCAGTATCACAAATTAACCTCATCATTCTCATTGACGTCATGTTACATTTAGTTCATAAGCTTATAACTTACCGGAATCAGTAAGAAATTTAACATTGCACAATATCTCTGAGAGTCAGAGTAACAACATATTAAATAAAAAATATAACATGCAATGGAAATACCATTTCTTATTAGCTTGCTATAGATCAAACACTAAATATTACAGAACGATTTAATGCTGGCTTGTAACATGCCATCTAAAGATGAAATCTCTTTTATTACACTTCCATAAATGTCAACTAAATAGGATGCAAAACCACCAACATGAGATAACTGCTTGACATCCATGGACTTGGGGAGATAACTAACTTGGAAAAACGACAAGCCCATGACATGGAAGTTATTTGATATATGCTTGACATCAAATAGACGTGGGGAGGTAGCTAACTTGGAAAAACGACAGGCCTGTGGTTATTTGATATATTAATATACACGCATGCTTTCAAAAATATGACATAAACAATAAGACTACCAAAGGCATCAAATAAACTTAAACTACAATGAACTGGTATATTCCCAAACAGAAATACAAAATTATAGACAAAATTTAAAATAAAGATTAAAGTGTCTCTTAATAAATTTCTCAAGCGCAATCATTCAAAAATTTCTGTCAATGTCATAACCACTGCCTCAGACGGAAAAATATCTCCCAAATTTGAACTGCACTAGCTATTCGAAGATCTAATCTTCTTACAAGCTTCAAAAACCCAATTGAATAGCTGTTGATGTCTTATGATGCTCCCTAGAAATTTCCAGGAATGTTGTGGACATGCCTGGAAATTGCTTGGATTTACATAATTCTGTTTTAAAGGAAAAAAAAAACAAACAATTTTAAGCTTATCCAACGCATCTCAGGGCCTGGATTAGCATACATTGCACATTTGAAATATGAGTTCTCAAAAAACTTAAAGACTGCTTCCGCACTTTCCAGAATTTTAAAAGAATTTTATCTCCATGCAGCGAATGTATTCGTAGCAAAGCTTTCAACAAAAAAGCATTTTGGGAACAATCATTAGGTAGAAATAAAGTTATTATTACCTCCTGAGCAACGGCTAAAGCAGTCTCATGCAATCTTCCATCTAAGTACACAAGACTAGAATCATCTAGGGCAGAACACAACTTGGAATTTGATAGATCATTTGGCATCATAGGAGGATATCCGGGTGTATGAATGCAAGTACGGGTTTTCCTGGAACATGAGAAAGAGTGAGTCTACCAAATTGCTGTTTATAAATCAGAACAAAGCAAAATTTTCCGCTATGATTTCCACATATTAAAATGAAAAAAAAAGTAATTATTTGAAAGCATGTCAAACTAGGGTAAGATGTCCACATGGCTTAAAAACCCTTCCAAAAAGAATCACGAACTTTTAAATTTAATTAAGATCTCTCAAACCTTACATAACTTACACCCCTTATTAAGAACAAAATAAATAAGCTCTCACCACTATAAACTGATCCACATTACTTGGGCACTAAAGATCAAATTACTCGTAAGAAATCAAAGCACCAGACAACGAAAATCTAAATCTTTCCAATTCACTCTAGTAGACTATTGAATACTTTCTCTATAATTAAGAATAGGGAAAAGTTGAACAAAGAACCCCGTAGTTCCCTTCACATGTATCAAATTTGATTTACTGAGTTTGTTGGCTGTGTAAAACCAAATAATTTACATGCTCCCGTGACACGCCTCAATTTCATTTTCCTGCTAGAAGCCTACCGCTAAAAATACTAACAGGCACTTGAGTAATTCTCCCATAATTAATTTAGGTAGCGCTCTCACTTGAATTATAAGAGCTAAAGCATGGACTACATTGGCGCTAATTCCCTTCAAAGCTTACATGCTCCCAATGTGATAGAATAGAGGGATTGTTAGCTTGGTGCCCGTTGCACATGTGTCCTCCGCTATAAAATTCGTAGTATGGTATAGGGGCTGCACGGCGTTGAGTAATAAGTTGCTCAATTATTTTGTCAGTTCTGCAACCTGGGCTGTGATAATCTATTAGCCTAAAAGCATCATTGAACAAAATAGCCAGAAATGAGATGATTACAAGCATTGGTTCGTTATTTGGGTTCTTTAATGTTATTTCAACCCGAAGTAATCACGATGGGGTGAGCCTACATCCATTTGAAGGCTTATTAGATTGAAAAATGAGAGTTATTGTTTTATTTACAAGTTAACCAAGAAGATTAGGGCTTAAAGTTATGCCATTTATCATACCCATATGTATAGCTTGGAAGTTGGGGTTGGTCCAACAGTGTGGTCTTTAGCCCTTTGGGCAAAGTGGATCACGCAACTTCATCTTGTAAGCAAGACAGCGTAAATGAAGTCTTTTAAACTCTCCATGTTGGCAAAGATGGCATGTATGATAAAGATAACGTGCTTTCAACTTTTCATGTAGCATGTATTTTAACGTGCATATTAAAGAAATAAAAAATTGTTAAAAAATTATGATATGAATCTTTTAAATTATTATGTCAATGCATAGAGCAACAAGTTATATAGCTTGGATAAAATGAAATTTGCGCAAGAGTTATTGCACCGACGACCATGTGTAGTGTTAAATAATCAAATGCTCTCACATTATAGACGGATGTGGGGCAAAAAAAAAAAAAAATTCATGAATCAAATATTATGATAGAAACTTGAAATATACGTACTATCACAGTTAAATCAATAGAATTAGTAAATATTGTGAATTATAGGAAGATAATATCTTATGCATTAAAGAACTAAAGAGATTGATAGCTTAGATTTTCAACTTTGATATTTATGTAGAAATCCTAATAGAAATGGTGTAGAACTAATTATGGATAAAAATGAAAGATAATGTTGTAAAAATTAATAGAATTGAAGATAAAATTATAGCTCTAAAGATTATTGTTGATATTATGATTCTTAATGTCATAAGTGCTAAAACTCCCTAGGCATGTATGGATATATATTCAAAAAAATTTTTTTTGAAATGATCCAGAAGAATTAATACAAAGTACCTCTTGAAGAGAATTTTTATTTGACTTAAATGAACATATTAGTAGAACGGTAAAAGATTTTAAAAGTATTCATGGTAGATGAGATTTTGGAGTGTTCAATAGAAAAGGTAAAACCATATTGGAGTTTGCTTCAACTAATGATATTTTTATTGCTAGTACTTTATTTACAAAAATAAAAATAAAAATATTATCACTTATAAGAATGAATTTAATAAACATAAATTGATTTTTTATGAGAAAATAGAGATCATCAAAATTGTCAAGATAGTAAGGTCATTCCAAGTTAATATTTAAATATCCAACATTGATTATTTATTTTGAATTTTAAAAAGAACGGTTGAAAGACAAAAAAAATACAATAAAATATTATCATAGAATTAGGAAGAGTACTTAAAAAATATAAATCAAATTATTTTTACAAGTAAATTTCAAGATCTTAAGATTCAAAATATTATGAAGAAATTAATACCATGTGAAATAAAATAATGAGTACTACAAAAGAAGTTGTAAATGATGTGCTTGAAGAATTAAAAGAAAAAGCTCTTATGAATAAGAATAATTGATTGTGGAATAATAATGTGCAAGAAAATGCAAAAAAAAAAAAAAAATGTTATAATGATTAGTTTAGATGTAAATGTTCGGAGAACTATAATATATATATATAGTGACCTGTAGAGAGTCTAAGAGAATAATTTGTGATGCTTAAAATTTTATTTTTTTAGTGATCTTTATAATATATTATAAATTAAAGAGCATGGAACATGTATAAACTAGTAAAACAAAGATAACATTTCAAATCTATTAATAATAAAAAATCAAAAAGTATTTTTCTTATAGTAGAATATTCAACATATGAAAATGAGATATTTTGATAAACTTTAAAATGAAGATAGTGAAAAAGTGATCAAATTTAGTGATATTAATATTGTCAATGATAACAAAAAAACTTTATTATTTCATTGCTACCGTCACATTAGTAAAAAAAAATTGAGAATGTTAAAAAAAATGAAGTGTAGAAAAGCAGCAGGGCCTGATGATATTCCAATAGAAGTGTGTAAATATTTAAAAGATTTGAGAATTTCTTGACTCACTAAGCCTTTTAATATTATTTTATTAAAAAGGTGGTTGATGAATAAAGAAATAGTCTATTGGTTTTTTTTTTTTAAGAATAAAGGGGATGCACAAAATCATAGACGAATTGAGTAAATGTGTCATACATTGAAGTTATGGGAGAGAGTAATTGAACATAAGTTATAACGTGATACAATTTTTTTTTAAAATCAGTTTGGATCCATTATGGACAAATCTACCATGGAAGCAATATATTTATTGAGAAGTTTGATGGAGAAATACAAAGAGAGTAAGGAGGATACACATATGATTTTTGTTGATTTAGAAAAAGCTTATGATGAGATTCTAAGAGAAGTACTTTGTAGAGTTATAGAATAGAAAGATGTTGATATTGCTTATATGAAGTCATTAAATACATGTATACTGAAGTTATTACTAGTGTCCAAACACAAAAAAGATTGAACAAGTATTTTCATATTTTAGTTGAATTACATCAAGGATCAATTTTAAGCCCTATGGATATTATTACTAGACATTTACAAGAGAATGTACTTTGGTGTATGATTTTTGCTGATGATATCCTTCTTGCAGATAAAATTATAGAGTTCATAAAAGATTTGAACTATGGAGGTAAACATTAGAATCTAAAAGCTTTCATTTTAGTAGATCTAAAACTGAATATATGGAATGTAATTTTAGTAATAGTGGATCTAGTGGCAAGGTTGTAGTAACAATGGGTAATCAAGTCATTAAAAGGTGTGAACGTTTTAAATATCTCGTGTTTATTGTTCAAAGTGATGGTGATATCGATGGGGATGTTATTAGTAGAATTTAGGTTGGATGGTTGAAGTGAAAGAACGCATTGTGCCTATTGTGTGATACCGTTTAGACTTAGAAAAAATTATAAGATGGTAAGATCTGCAATCATTGATGACTTAGAACATTGGCTTGGAAAAGAGAAGCATAAAATTAAGTGTTACTGAGATGAGAATACCCGGGTGGATGAGAGGCTTTACACTTAGAAACAAAATGTGAAACGAATATATCTGTGAGATGACTGGAGTAGCTCCAGTGGCAGACAAGATTAAAGAGAATCGCCGTAGATGGTTTGGTCACATTAATCATCGAGCCCTCGAACTGAAACACCTTCTATCCAAGACATATCCCTCCATCCATCCTTCCTATCCCATATCCCTCCTATAACTTCCCCAATGTCTTTTTGTATTCTGAAACACCTTCTAGGAGCCCTCGAACGATATCAAAGCTGCTTGTCTGTCTAGTTGCGGCAATCTGTCTAGTTTTTGCATGTGTTTGGAGGAAAGAGAAAAAGAAAAAAAAGGACACGCATCAATGGTTGAAAGATAAATATGAAATGGTGCCTACAGGACATGTTTCCAAGACATGAAGCAAAAAATGAACTCATGAACTAGAAAAAATAATCTGTTGAATAAATGGTTGCTAAACCTATAATAACTTGGACATCAAATCTGTAAGCCCAGAGATGGGGATAGGATTGATGTTTGAAAAGACATGATGCAATTATTTGCAATGGTTAATTTTTTGCAGCTGCATAGATTTTACAATGAGTAGTTTCTACTATTGCATAGGTTAATATTCTGCTACTTTACAGCTTAATGTAACTTAAAGCTGCGGCATATTGATAGTTTTCTAATGCTTGAAGGACCGTTTCTTTAATTATGTTTTGCAATCAAATGAGTATTTCATCAGCATTATCTCTCATGCAGCCAAATTAGAATTTGACATGTGAAGTGGCTGGATTAATCGAAGATGATTGTGCAGACGTCTCCCCAGGCAGGGAAGAGAGAGGTTGCTTTCTCTATAAAGAGGTTTTCGCACAGACAGTAAAACGTGCAGGATTTTTCTTCCTTCATGCAGGAAGAGAAGAATAAGGGGAGCAGATTTTGGTGTCGTTTACGCACAATATTTTTTATTCCTTTTTTCCTTTGCACAGGCAGAGAAAAGAGGGGAGAGGATTTTGATACGATTTAGGCACTTCCTTTCTTCCTTCATGCAGGAAAAGAAGAGACGGAAATGATTTTGGTGCGATTTACACACTTCCATTCTTCCTTCCGGCAGGCAAAGAAGAGAGTAGAGAGCATTT